ATCAGTTCAGGCCCTGATCGAGAGTCAGTTTCTGGTCCACTATCAGGTCTAGATTTAGACCCAGGTCCACGTGGAGGTCTCTACCCACCAGGTCTTGGCTCAGCTTCAGCTGTAGCTCCCGCTGCATCTCCAGTTCAAGATCCAGATTCACGTGCACCTGGTGCAGCCGTAAGGCCTGGTTTAGGGCCAGGTCCAGCTTCATGTCCTGGTTTATTTCCATGCTCAGGTCTGGCTTTAGGTCCAGCATTAGGTCCAGATTCAGGTCCTAGCGGATGTCGTGGTTCGGTCTCTGCCTTAGCTCCAGCTCCGGGTCCACATTCACATCCTGATCCAAGTCTAGGTCTCGACTTAGGTCCAGGTTCAGCCTTTGTTCCCATTTGGCGTCCTGGCTCAGCTCTACGGCCAGATCCGGATTCAGGCGTTGAGCCTGCTCCAGATCGAGGATTACGTCGAGGTCTAGACTTAGGTTCAGGTCCAGGTCTCGATGTAGGTTTGCACACGGAACCAGACCTTCGTTCGTTGCTGGGGACCCCGGACGAGAGCTCTGAGATTGGTCGTAGGGGACAGGATCGGGATCGCCAAGTTGCAGTGACGGCAGACGTGGCATCGAAAGTGGTTGACGGCAACGGAAATGTCGGCCGGTCCACGTCATCCTCTCTACCGCAAGCTGTTTGTAGGGAGGAGAATGAAATGGACAGGGCATTTTCGTTGCCGCCAACCAATTTCTGTGGAGGTACTGTCGTGCAGCACAACGAGGGAAAGGAGGAAGAGGAGGAGCAGGAGGAGCAGGGGGAGGAGGAGGAGGAGGAGGAGGAGGAGAAGGAGGAAGAGGAGGAGGAGGAGCTGGATTGGTGCGCAGAGCCTCGGCTGGGAGTGGACGTCCGGACTTGTAGCCGGGCTTCTCATGGTTGCCGACGATTGGGTCAGTCATGGCCAAAGCTATTGTTTGTGCATTTGGAAGGTGATGAGGATCTTTTTAGAGAGAGGATGGAGAGAAGGTATGCCCAAGGGGAACATTACATGCCGCCATCGCTTTTGAAATCGCAGCTGGTAACACTGGACATCAAATCCCATGGGAAATGCATCGGCCTCCGAGGTCATGCTGCTGATCTTCCTGTTGGTCGTCTAAGACGTCCTTCTCCTGCTGCTGCCCCTTCTCGTCCGCAGAAGTGGCATGGCCATCGTCGTACTCGTTGTTGTGGTCACAGTGACATTGGGACGGAGAGCCAGGGTAAGGAAATGGAAGAGAAGCAGGAAGAGGAGGAAGAAGAAGAGGGAAAAGAGAAGGAAGAGGAGGAAGGAGAGGAGGGAGAAGAGGTAGAAGAAGAGGTAGAAGAAGAGGAGGAATGTGACATAATTGGCATTGATGCCAGAATGGCGCCTTTGCAGATTGTTGACAGTGTGCTGCAATATTGTATGTGGAGTTAAGGTGTTTAAGGATTCAAGCTCTGAAAGGGCGGGGGGGGGG